GGGGCGGGGCAGTGCCCTGAGCAGCCCGGGCAGGGCAGGACGCCGCCCGCAGTGGCCTCTCCTGGGTCCTGGTCTTCGCCTTGGGGGACGGGGATGTGTCCCCCCTCGCCGGCCGCCTGCTCCCTCGTCTCCTCTCACTCCCGCGAGGCTGATTTATTTAAAGGTGTGTCAGCACCGGCTCAAATGAGGGGCCGGGCCCCCTCCTTCCTGCTGACGGCCGGCCGCGCCAATAACTCATTTTTTAGCTCATTAGCTAAGAGAGGCCGGGAGCGGCGGCCCCGGGGGACGGGAGCGGGAGGTGATGGACTGTCCGCCGCGCTGCTCTTGAACTGGCCTCAGTGGGCTCGGCCGCCTGGCGTCCAGGGCAGACGCTGCAGCCCACCCACGGATCACGCCCATCTGGGGAGGGAGCTTGGCACCAAGGCCGTGGGTGGGTGGGGTAGGTACCACTCTGGCCACACAGAGCCACCGAGTGTGGCGTGAAGGACAACCCGGGGGAGGGGTGTGCTAAGCCGGAGGCCTAGAATCCTCCAGGGCACCCCGAGGTGTGGCCTCAGCATCTAGAGGCTGGGATCGAGAGCACCCCCCGGGGGCTCCATGAGGCGCCCTCCTGGCTCTGAGAACTCTCGGGGGTCTCCCGCACACTGCAGGCCTCCACATGGGGGAGCCGGGGCCTCCCAGCCACCCCCAAGCTCTCTGGCCTCACGAAGCTCCTTGCTGATACACAGGGACCTGAAACTTATGCCCCCTGCCCCCACTGGCCACCAAGGGCCGCTGGCCACAAGTCCCAGCCTCCACTGGTGATGGACATCTGTCAGTCATCAGGGATCCCTTCTGGTCCTGTCACCACCACTTGCAGTTGATAGAGCGACGCCCTTGCCAGGAACCTTCACCAAAGGGAAGAGTCCCCAGGGCAGAGTCCATGGGTGAGGATAGCCGGGTGCCGGCAGCCACTGTCCTTCCCAAAGCTGACCCAGAGGGGAAGTGCAGGGCCGCGGACCCACGGCCACGACTACTGTCCCACACGGCGTCCCCTGTGGGCTCTGCAAAGGCACACGGAGCTGGGCTCCCCAGGTCCGGCCGGCCGGCTGGCGCGGCCCTGCCAGGGGCTGTGAGGATTAGGGGTGCGAGGGGCTGATCTGGGAGCCCAGGCTCTGCTCTGTCCGGCGGAGCTGCCGTGGACACCCTCCCTCTCACGGGCAGGGAGTGCCCGGCGTCACCGCCACCCTCAGGACCAGTGTGGGTCGGAAGCAGCCTTTGTGCTTTAATTTTTTTTCTTTTCCCTCTTTTGGGTTTGGGGTCTGCCGTGCTGCTGGAAATTGAACCCAAAGACTCACACGGGCAAGGCTCGACCCCCTCGGCCACATTCCTGGCCTCAGGCTGGCGTTTGGCTCTTTCTGTTTGGTTCATTTTTGTTTGAGTCACATCCAGCAATTCTCAGTTACTCCCAGCTCTGCACTCGGGAATCACTCCTGTCGGGGCTCGGGGGACCCTATGGGATGCCGGGGATCGAACCTGGGTCAGCCGCGTGCAAGGCCAATGCCCTCCCCGCTGGACTCTCTTGCTCCGGCCCCTGGGTTTGGGTCTTTTGGGCCACACCTGACCGTACTTGGGGCGTGGGGGACCATGTGTGGTGCCAGGGATCGAGCTGGGGTCGGCCACATGCAAGGGCCTGGAGATGCCAGGAGGGTGGAGCCCAGGCTCTGCCCATGGCTCCGTCCAGCCTGCAGCCCTGCTGGGATTGGCCCACTCTTCCCCACCTCAAAAAAAAAATTTTTTTTTGTTTTTTTTTTGGGGGTGGGGCTGGAGTGATAGCACAGCGGTAGGGCATTTGCCTTGCGCGCAGCCAGCCCAGCTGAGCCGGGTTCGATTCCTTCGCCCCTCTCAGAGAGCCCAGCAAGCTACCGAGAGTATCTCGCCTGCATGGCAAAGCCTGGCAAGCTCCCCGTGGTGTATTCGATATGCCAAACACAGTAACAACAAAGTCTCCAATGGAGATGTTACTGGGCCCGCTCGAGCAAACCGATGAACAACGGGAGGACAGTGCTATCGTGCAGTGTGCTTTTTCAGGTCACACCTGGCAATGTTCAGGGGCTACTCCTGGCTCTGCACTCAGGAATTAACTCCTGACAGTGCTCAGGGGACCATATGTGATGCTGGGGATCGAATCCGGGTTGGCCGCGTGCAAGGCAAATGCCCTCCCCACTATCACTCCAGCCCCGCTCCAAAAATTTTTTTAATACACAGTGCAGTGCAAAGTCCTGGTTGTCCCAGCTGATGTAAGGCGGGCACTCAGCAGATCTGGGGCCCTTGGAGGCAGTCAGGCAGTCCAATGGCTGGGCCCCCCAGGGGACCCCGCCCCCAGCCTCTCTCTCCGGGTTCCCCTGCTCAAGCCCTGGAGCTGTTTCTTTTTCCCTCTCTTTTTATTTTATCTTTTGTTTTGTGGGTCACACCTGGCAATGCTCAGGGCTGACTCCTGGCTCTGTGCTCAGGGATCCTCCGGGCAGTGGCCTGGGGACCGTAGGTGTGAGTGCGAGCGCCCACCATGTGCGCTGTGCTCTGTCTTTGTCCCCGAGCTGAGGTGGTTGGAGGTTCCAAAGCTTTGTTGAGGGTCACCCTGGCCTGTCTCCTGACTGCCCTGACTACTCCTGCCCTTTGGCCACCTCCATAGCGGCTCTCCCTGGGGTCAGCCTTTCCGGCCGCCAGCCCGCTTTCCTCATGAGTTAGAAACCCAGATTTGCTTGGGGGCCATTAGGTTTTTTTGGGGGGGCGGTGGGTGTTGTTTTGGGTTTTTGGCTTTTTTTTTTTTCATTTTTTGGTTGTGTGTGTGTGTGTGTGTGTGTGTGTGTGTGTGTGTGTGTTTCGGGGCCACACCCAGTGGTGTTCAGGAGCTGTTCCAGGCTGTGCTCAGGGGCCCAGACTGGGATTGGATGACGGACAGTGCTCCCGCCCTCTGCAAAACCTGAGTGCTCAGGGCTGACTCCTGGCTCTGTGCTCCAGGGATCACTCTGGCAGTGCTCAGGACCCTCAGTGAGGCGGGCATTGAGCCTAGGTCAGGCATGTGCAGTGAGCGCCGTCCACTCTGTGAGGAGCCCAGTCAGCCTTGATTTGACGCCCACCGCGTGGTGTCGATGCCTGTGGGTTCCAGCGCATTGGGTGAGGTGGATGGGGCTGGCAGGCCCTGGGTGCTCCCAACTGGGAGTCCGGCCACCCGAAGAACACGGGAGAAGCCCGTTGGGTGAGCCCGGTGCCGTTTCCGCTTCTGTCTGGTTCCGTGTTTCTGGATCCTTCCTGGCCTGCGGGGTGAGGCGGGCTGCGAATGACCCTCGGTCCCCCTGTAGCCCGCGTTTGTCCTGGGACTCTCGGCTTGAAAAGGGTCGCGGGTCACACTGGGGTCACTCGCATGTACCAGGAAGTGAAGCACAACTAATCCCGATTTACCCCTGGAAGAATTTGTTTGCCTAAGTATTTAAAAGCAGATTAGGGCCGGATCCCGGCATTGTAAACAGGGGAAGGTGGCCGCCTTTTCTCTGCCTCGGAAGGGAACTGCCGGAACGAGCCTCCCTCTCACCAGGCCCCAGCAACCTGACCGGGCAGCGGATTGTTCCCCTGGAGAAAAGCCCTGCTTGGGGGTCAGGGTCCCCCGTGATGCCCCCCACACTCCAGCAGCGAGAATTCCCCCCCCCCAACCCAGAGCCACTCACCAGCTCACCTGTTCCAGCCTTTTCTCGCCCCTCACATACTCGGCACGACACACACCATGTACATATCCTCCACACACACACCATCACATACACCGTGCATGCACCCCACATGCATGCACACACCACGTCACACGTGCCATCTACACGCACTGTAACCCGCACACCATTCCTGCACCACCACACACACACACACACACACACCCCATACCTACCCACCCCCTCACTCTACACACATGCCATGTGCACAGCCCACAAAACATGTGCTGCATACGGATAGACGCGCACCACGCACACACATGCACACACACTCCCTCCCGGGCCAGGGCAGCTGCTGTGGGCCAGGGCAGCTGTGAGCCCAGAGCTGTGGCCCTCTAAGAGACAGGGAGGCCCCCCCCCACCGCACCTCCTGAGCTGGGGGAGGGGGAGAGGGAGGGTGCCCTGGGCCGGGCCTGCGCAAACACACCTGTGCCTGCCCTGGGGTCTCCCCCTCCCCCACCCCAGCTGTCACAGCATCGTCTGCCCCTGAGGCGGGGGGGGGGGGGGGGGGGCCTGGTGACCCAGACAGCCTGGTGACCCCCGCGAGTGGGTAACCCCACAGCCCGCCTGTCACGGGGGCCGGGTCCCGCCCAGGCCCCAACTTCTGCCCTAACGGGCCAACATCACACCAGCGCCCCACGCTTGGATGGGGCTGGGTTGGCACGACTCTCGGGGAAAGGGGTCAGCGACAGGCAGGGGCGACCTCGGAGGAGGCGCAGGCAAATGGGAGGCCCCCAGCTTCCTCCCCGGCACCACGCGGTGACCCAGGTGGCACCCAGTACTGCCAGGCCTGAGCCCTCGACCGCCAGGCCAGGCCAGGCACCCCCAGGAGTGGCCTTCAGCCCCAAGCACCCTTGAGGGGGCCCTCACCCCTGAAAAATCAGATGAGACCACCCGTCTCACTCCGAGAGTGAGCAGAGACTCTAAAGGACTTGGGGGGCCGTCACCCACCTCAGGTTCTGTGGATTTCGGGAGGGCGCACCCGGCAGTGCTCCAGGCTTCCTCCCGGCTCTGTGCGCAGGAATCACTCCTGGCAGCCATGAGGGACCCTGTGTGGTGCCGGGGCCGAACCCTGGTCAGCCGTGTGCAACGCTCACGCCCTCCCTGCTGTCCCACCGGCCGGGCATGGCCTCGGTTCTGATGCAGTGACCCGAGACGCTGCAGGCCTGGGGTCTGCATGGCTGACGGTTCCCCCGCAGGCCAGCCCTGCTGGCTGGGGGACCCCGGCTCCCCGCTGACCGCCCGTCTGGGCCTTTGCAGGGAGGAGAAGGAGCGCTGGATCCGGGCCAAGTACGAGCAGAAGCTGTTCCTGGCGCCGCTGCCCTGCTCGGAGCTGAGCCTGGGCCAGCACCTGCTGCGGGCCACGGCCGACGAGGACCTGCGCACGGTCATCCTGCTGCTGGCCCACGGCTCCCGGGACGAGGTCAACGAGACGTGCGGCGAGGCGGACGGGCGCACGGCGCTGCACCTGGCCTGCAGGAAGGGCAACGTGGTCCTGGCGCAGCTGCTCATCTGGGTAGGTGCCCCCGCCGCCTGCGAGACCCCCGCCCCTCCCGCGGCTTCCCCTTCCCAGACCCCCCACCCGGGCCTGCGGGATCCGGGACCCCTGCGCCCACCCCCGGGAAGCCTTCCAAGTCCTCTTCCAAGGCCTCTCCCCAATCCGCGCAACTGCCGCTGGGGGCTGGGACTTGTGGGGGGCACAGATCCATGCACAGCCAGCCCCCCCACCAGCTGCACCCCAGCTCGGCCTGGGCACCTTTCCGTGACCACGCCTCTCCGTACCCACACCTTTTCATGGCCACGCCCCTTTCTGGGGGCCACCCCTCTCAACCACGCCCCTTCCCACAGCCACACCCTCTCATTGGCCATGCCCTTTCTGGGCCACGCCCTCCTTGATCATACCCCTTTCTGTGGCCACGCCCTCTCCTTAACCACGCCCATTTCCATGTCCACACCCTCATTGGTCATGCCCTTTTCGTGGCCACGCCCCTTTCTGGTGCCCACGCCCTCTCCTTAACCATGCCCCTTTCCACAGCCACACTCTTCATTGGCCATGCCCTTTCCGTGGTCACGCCCTCCTTGATCATACCTTTCTGTGGTCACACCCTCTCCTTAACCACGCCCCTTTCCAAGGCCACACCCTCTCGTTGGCCACGCCCTTCCGTGGCCACGCCTCTCCAAACCTTTAGTGGCCACGCCCATTTGGGGGCCACGCCCCTTCCTTGGCCTTGCCCCTCTCTTTGACCACGCCCCTTTCCACAGCCACTCCCCCTCATTGGCTATGCCTTTCCGTGGCCACGCCCTCTGTTGCCACGCCCTTTTCTGTGGCCACGCCCCTGCAGGTGAGGCCCAGATGTCTGTAGGTCCGCTTTCAGGAGCAAGGAGCATCCGCCATGTAATATGACCATGTCACTGTGTCGTTGCCCCACTGACCCCAGCCCCTGAGCCCTGGCAGGAGGGTGGACCCGTCCAGCTCCGCTCAACACCCACCCGCTTCCGTCCCAGACTCAGCCCCCAGCCCTCGGCGGGCCCCTGGCCATGCTTGGGGGACAGGGCGGTGTCCAGCTAAATTCAGAAAGGTGCCAGTAACGTGCGAGCTGACCTCAGGACACCCGGCGATGCGAGTTGGAGCAGAGTCATTCCGACTGGCACAGCCGTGTCCACAGGGAGCCCCTGGAAGCTGACCATCTTGGGCATCCAAGGGGCACTCTGGTTTGGGTGCACGGTTTTGGGGGCAGCATCGTGGTCGGACTGACCTGTAGAGGCAGACTCCCTGCCTGCCGCACTGGGACCACCTCCCGCCCTCGTTTGCACAGTTGGACGGACAGAAGCAGAATGGGCAGTCCCACGGGGAGGCCCTGTGTGCGTCTCAGTGGCACCAAGGAAGCACGTCTCTCCTTTAGCCAAGGAGGGGCCGGGGCCTGAGAAACAGGACAGCCGTAGGGTGCTTGCCTTCCGCACAGCCACGAGGGCTTCACTCCCAGCACCTCGTAGGGTATCCTGGGTGAGCTAGGAGTCGGCCCCGAGCACAGCGCCAGGAGTCAGCCCTGAGCACTGCTGGGGGTGGCCCCTGAACCAAAAACACAAATGAAGAGAAAAGCGGGTGGTGGGCAGGAGCTGTCCCGGGTTCAGCCCTCGCTCCCTTGCACAGTGCCCACCGGCCGGCCCCGGCTCACTCCCCGCCCTCTGTTCTCCGCAGTACGGGGTGGACGTGATGGCCCGCGACGCGCACGGGAACACGGCGCTGGCCTACGCCCGGCAGGCGGGCAGCCAGGAGTGCGTGGACGTCCTGCTGCAGTACGGCTGCCCCGACGAGCGCTTCGTGCTCATGGCCACGCCCAACCTCTCCCGCAAGAACAACAACCGGAACAACAGCAGCGCGAGGGTCCCCACCATCATCTGACCCGGCCACGCCGCCCCTGCCGCCCTCGCCCGCGCTCCACCCCCACCTCCCCAGAGCATCGCACAGCCCGGCTGGTCCTCCTCGCCGGGGCGCGGAGAGGAGGCTGCAGACGGACCCCCCCCCCGCCCCCAGACCCTCGGGGGACACGCGGAGACCCCCACGGGGTCGTCGTCGATAGCACACGGTGGCCGGCGGCGGTGACGGCAGCAGCGACACGCCGGAGACAGCTCAGCACAAGGGACACGACGAGCAGGGGGGAGGGGGCTGGAGGCAGAGAGGAAGGGGCCAGGCCCCCGGCGGCAGCCAAGCACACGCTCACCTCCACCTCGCGGAGCCCCCGGATGCCGCCTCCCCCCAGGAGCCCGCCGGCATAAATCAGGAACAAGCAGAGTTTGTCAGGTTTGAAGCCCCTATGATGGTATGTGTCAAATCAGTTGGAGCTAATCTGTCCGGGGAGGATACCGGCTTCATTACACTCCCTAGCTGAGTTCTTCCAGCATTACCGCTGCTTAATAGAACATGATTAGTCATCACCGGGAAGGCAGCGTATTAGGCGAGGCGCGGGTCACGCCGCACGCTCCGGCGGCCCCGGGATGTGATTGCGCGACGCCGAGAAGCACCATATTATCCCAGACATGTTCCGGCGAGCCCTCAGAGCCCTCCTTTCTAAATTCACTGTCATAATTTAGTATCTGTTTAATTTTTCAGTCCAAAGAGAGGAGATGAGCTCCCAAGTGTTATGTGACTGCCGTCTCCTTGGTGCAGAGAGAGGAGGGAAAGGAAAGAAGAAAAAAAAAAAAGGAAACCGTAAATACGGGAAATTTGGAAAATATGGGAAATTTCCAAGGGGAGCACACGCTCAAGCCAGAGGGAGCACTCGGGACGTTCCGCACGCCCGGTGAAAGTGGACGTCCACGGCTCTTCTCCCTCCCCAGCCCGCGAGAGGTGGTGTTTCCTTTGGGTGCGAGGACACCCCGGGCCTCTGTCCCCCTGGGACCCCCACAGCCCGAATCACACAGGCTCCTGTATTATGTCTTTAGATAAGATGTGTGAAAATCTATTTGAATAAAAGAGGTTCATAAATATGCATTGATTTTTGTACAGACAAATGGCACCTCTGTTAATTTATAAATTGAACTGGATGTGGACTAATAATGTGCAACTGGTTGAGATAAGGGGTTACAGATCATTGTACATGGGAAATATTCCCAGCAGTAAACACTTCCATTAATGTGATCTACAGCTTCGGAGAGGAACATCTCAGAGCAAGATGGTGGCACAATTTGCTTATTAAAATCGAGAAAGAGGGAAAAAATAGACACGGGGCGTTCTGGGAGGGGGGGAGAGGCCAGTGGTTTCTCATCATCGGGAGCGGGACCGGGGTCCGCCGGCACCAGGCTGCAGGGGTGTGTGCGGTGGCCAGGGCCCTGGGGGAGGGGGCTTCGCAAAGATCAGGACGTGCTGCTGGGGGGGGCAGGACCCACAGTGGCTCGGTCTGTGCCCCCGGGAGAGCCCCCCCCCCCCACGCTCTGCCATCCTGAGCGGCTTCCGCCTGACCTCCACCACACCTACATGCTGTTCTCTCTCGGAGTAAGGAACCGCATCAGAGGGGGAGGGGGCACCGGCCTCTGCAGGGTGGAGCTGGCCAGTGTCCCCCGACGCCACGCTGGGTGCTCGGATCAGGGGGCTCCCGTGAGTCCGAGCCCCCACCCCACCCCACCCGGTGTTCATTTTGTGTTTCATCGCTGTGCAGTTCCGAGACTCTTGGGCGGCGCCCGGCCGTGTATATGAACGTGTACATATTATTATTATTATACGTGTGTATAATAGAATATTTTCCCAGACGACTTATTTTTCACTTCTCCTTCCCCCCGGAGCCTGGCTTTCCTCCTTCCCACCCCCCCACCCCCCCAAGCAGCCTCATCCTGCTTCTCCGAGCCTCCCAGCCCAGGGTCCGGGCGAGAGGAGCAGGGAGAGGGTCTCCCCGTTTCTGTGAAAACCAAGGCCACTCGCATGTGAAGCCCCTACGGAGCGAAGGTGCCCCCCGCCCTCCCTCCAGCAGGGCTGACCGTGGCGGGAGAAGCCAGACCGTGGGACCCGTGACCTTCCTCCCTGGGGAGGCCCCCGAGAGCCTGGCATGTGGGGGTGTGAGAGGGGAGGGGTCTGGGGTCTGTGTGTGGCGCTGGCAGGGTGCCCCCCCCTTCTCTCTGAGATCACAGTGACCTGGTGCCCTCATGAGCCCCGGCCAGACACTTGGGGAGTCTCGTAAGGACACGCATGCATGGCCGGAGCCAGAACATGGCCCTCCACACCTGCCCTGGGACCCTGTGTGCCAGGGGCTCGGGTGGGCACCCCACTGTCCCCCTCTGTGAGTTGTCTGGAGAGAGGGACGCTGGGGCCCTGCTTGCGGGGACCACGTGCCCCCCCCAACAGACAGAGCTGTCTGTCCCCTTGTGCGGGAGTCCCCATCTGTCCCCGAGACCACCACCCCCCCCCCGCCCACCCCCATCTCGGCACGGTGCCCCATGCCGGTCCCACCCTTGCCTCTCCCTTTTGAGATGGGGGTACCCCAGCCCCACCCCACCCCCGCTGATGGCTGCCAGGGACCCAGTACACCTGCCCCCTCAAGCCTTCCTCCTTGGGGTTTAGAATGTTCTGGAAATGTGGTGACCGAGGGAAGCCTTGGTGCTAGGAGAGGTGGATGGCTCCCAACAGCCCCAAAGACGTTTGGAAAAGCTGGTCCGGGTCTCACAGGGGCTTCCCTGCCATGCCCCTCCTCAGGACACAGAGACACCCCCCAGGTCCCCCTGGAAATGTCTGTCCTTGGAGGGGCCTTTCCCAGGTGCAGGCCTCAGGCCCCCATAGCGATGCAGGCAGAAGAAGGAGCCGGGGGCAGGGGACGTTCTCACAGGACCCCCGCTCCCCGCTCAGCAGGAGGGCACCCGGGAAAGGGGGACCCCAGACCCATTTGTGTCTTCCTCGAGGTGGGGGCTCCTTTGTGAACAGATGCGCCTTTTGGGCCAGTTGAAATCAGAGTTGGGGATGATAAAACCCTCAAACGCCCGGGTTCTGGAATTTTTTCGGGGTCCACCTACGAGCTCGCCCTCCCGGAGGGCTCACTCACCAGCCAGCGCAGCCCAGGGCTTGGGGTACGGCTATGGGGTCTGGGCCCACCAGGGGTCCCTGCCAGAAAGGCGCTGGTTTAGCCGTAGTGGAATATTCTAGCTCGGCGCACAGCCCAGGGGAGACCCTTGCCCCAGGCGCCTGTGCCCGCGGGTGAGGGGGTCTGGGTGTGAGCAGCCGGGCGGGGTGGGGGACCCCAAGGGGCAGTTTGTGGAGAGCATGCAGGCTAGACCCCCACGGTGGTCCAGGCTTCCCAGCGGACTCAGGACCCTTGAGGGGGCAGGATGTCACCCCCATGCCGCCGGGGAATTCGTAGAAGGTGGCGATGTCGGGCTCCATGGGGCAGGTGGGTTCCCCGCCCATCCCTCAGTGACCCACCTCAGGCAAAGATGCCGTTGGGCAGCCAGCCAATAGCACCCCTCTCCTCTCTGCACCCACATTCCCCACCCACCCAGGCAAACTCGGTTCTTGGGGCCGGAGGTCGTTCCTCTGACCCCCAGCAAGACCCGCGCCCCCGCCCAGGCTCCCAGTTCCTCCCCCCATCCCTCCTGGGGGTCCATGACCCCCCTAGAGGATCGGGACACGGCACGGAGTGACCAGGGCTCCCTGGCATCAGCTTCCTGGAGGCTGAGTTCCGTCTGCCCACCAGGACCACAGGTCAGCTCCGACCCCCGCAGGCCCTGTGCCCCCCACACCCGGGAGCCCGTGTCTGGAACAGGGGGGCTTCTCCAGGCGGACGCCCACCCAGCCGCTCTCCCGAGGACCAGCCGCACCCCAAGGCCGCTGTCCCCCAGTCCCAGCCGTGGCCTTGAATGTCGGGTGTGTTTCGGGCGGGCGGGGGCGGCGTGTCTGGGAGGGGCCGGGGACCCTCCGCGTGTGTCGGCGAATCCCGTGTAGAACAGCCGGGGCACAGCCCGTGTGGCTCACGCGTTTGTTTTTATTTGGGGGGATTGTTTTCTATTACCTCATTCAGCAAGTTTATGTCCCCAGTGACTCACCGAGGCTTTATTTATATTGTTTGTACTGTAATTAAAAGCGGTGACAGACATTTCACTTGGCTTGTTACGCCCCACGATCTTGTTTGGATTCGATATGCCAGTTTGTACTCCTGCCTTGGGGTTTTTGTGTCTGCTGTACAGTATTCGGCGGGGAAGGCGGGAGGCTTTCTAATAAAGAGGTGAACTGTATGTCGCGTCTGCGCGTCTTCTTGGCTGCTTGGGGCGGGGAGGGGGGCGCCCCGCGTCGCCCGGCTGATGGGGGTGTCCTCCTGGACGGGGCATGGCCGCGGTCAGGCCGTCCCAGGGACGGAGCCGAGTCGAGAACTCTCCCACACACGAGGCAGGAAGCCCACCCAGACTGCAGCCCTGCCAGGAGGCGAGGAGACAAGGAGACGGGGTCTCTCCCGGCCTCATCACCCACAGGAAACCCCCAAGTCTGAGCCCTCCCTGCCAGGAAGGAGTTGGCCCAGAGTTCCAGAGGCTTCCATGGGGTCCGTTTCCAGCTGCTGCCTGGAGCCCGGTGCTGCTCTGAGGGTGGAACACAGGTGGGGGGAACAATGACCAGTGGCCAGCCTGGGTTCATCCCTAGCACCAGAGAGCGTCTCCCGAGTCCCGAGCACAGAACCAGGAGTCAGCCTTGAGCACAGAGCCAGGAGTCAGCCCCGAGCACAGAGCCGGGAGTCAGCCCCGAACACAGAGCCGGGAGTCATCCTTGAGCACAGAGCCAGGAGTCAGCCCTGAGCATAGAGCCAGGAGTCAGCCCTGAGCACAGAGCCAGGAGTCAGCCCTGAGCACAGAGCCGGGAGTCAGCCCTGAGCACAGAGCCGGGAGTCAGCCCTGAGCACAGAGCCAGGAGTCAGCCCTGAGCACAGAGCCGGGAGTCAGCCCCGAGCACAGAGCCAGAAGTCAGCCCCGAGCACAGAGCCAGAAGTCAGCCCCGAGCACAGAGCCGGGAGTCAGCCCCGAGCACAGAGCCGGGAGTCAGCCCCGAACACAGAGCCGGGAGTCAGCCCTGAGCACAGAGCCGGGAGTGAGTCCTGAACACAGAGCCGGGAGTGAGTCCTGAACACAGAGCCGGGAGTCAGCCCCGAACACAGAGCCGGGAGTCATCCCTGAGCACAGAGCCAGGAGTCAGCCCCAAGCACAGAGCCGGGAGTCAGCCCCGAACACAGAGCCGGGAGTGAGTCCTGAACACAGAGCCGGGAGTCAGCCCCGAACACAGAGCCGGGAGTCAGCCCCGAACACAGAGCCGGGAGTCATCCCTGAGCACAGAGCCAGGAGTCAGCCCTGAGCACAGAGCCGGGAGTGAGTCCTGAACACAGAGCTGGGAGTCAGCCCTGAGCACAGAGCCGGGAGTCATCCCTGAGCACAGAGCCAGGAGTCAGCCCTGAGCATAGAGCCGGGAGTGAGTCCTGAACACAGAGCTGGGAGTCAGCCCCGAACACAGAGCCGGGAGTCAGCCCTGAGCATAGAGCCAGGAGTCAGCCTCGAACACAGAGCCGGGAGTCATCCCTGAGCACAGAGCCAGGAGTCAGCCCTGAGCATAGAGCCAGGAGTCAGCCCTGAGCACAGAGCCGGGAGTCAGCCCTGAGCACAGAGCCGGGAGTCAGCCCTGAGCACAGAGCCGGGAGTCAGCCCTGAGCACAGAGCCGGGAGTCAGCCCTGAGCACAGAGCCGGGAGTCAGCCCCGAGCACAGAGCCGGGAGTCAGCCCTGAGCACAGAGCCGGGAGTCAGCCCTGAGCACAGAGCCAGGAGTCAGCCCCGAGCACAGAGCCAGGAGTCAGCCCTGAGCACAGAGCCAGGAGTGAGTCCTGAACACAGAGCCGGGAGTCAGCCCTGAGCGTCCCAGGGTGTGACCCCCAAACTAGACAGTTGTAGACCTGCGCTCAGTGGGATTCTCACCACAGCCCTGAGGAATCGGCTGGGGCCCCTGGCAGGTGCGACCACCAGGCCACACGGCCGCGC